ATACCTAAATTAGATGTGTTCGTCAACAGGAGAATGATAACATTTTATGATTGCTTAAAATATTTAACAAAGCTACAATTTAATTAAGTTCACGTTATATAAGAAGTTCGCAATTAAACTTATATATTTCTAAAAAAAAAACACTGGTATTTAGTTTTTCTCTAAATTTAGTCTAGTCCCACGCATTATCTCGAAACGGTAAATTTTAGAGTTTTAAATGTTCTAAATTCTTAACCTGGTCCTTGATATGCAGAATCCAAGTTTCTATTTCTCTCATCGCCAATTGATTAATGCTGTGTTCGTATCATTTTTTTTTTTTTTTTTTAAATATATTACAATCTGTCTCAGGGACATTAATAATAGTGTTCACAGATCACATTCACACTCTATGTACAGTAAATAAAATAAATATACAATAAACAAGAATAAAATAACCTAAAAATAAATAAATAAAAAGAACACATGCACACCTATATACAATATTTACAACTTGGCGAGAGAACTCCAAACCAGACTTGTCCCTCCAACTGTGGAGGGAAAAGTATGACTCCAGGAGTTCCCTGCACTCCTCTCTCAACCGCGTCACTAGGGCTAAACCCAGTGGAGATTGAGCAAGAGTGCGAGTTTTGTACTCGCTTCGGCGGTACATATACTAAAATTGGAACGTTCGTATCAATTAAATTGTTTTATTATGTTATGCTGTGAATGTAGCAATCCGATATAATTAATTAGCAACATTTTTATAATAAATTGTTCCTCTCTATTTAAGGATCAAACTTAGAATTAATCACCTTTCATGACACTCTCTTTCTTTTAACTCTAACAATCGGATATTAAAAATCATAATTCGTCGCTTCAGAGGAAAATATTCAAGACATAAAATGAAATTACGCCACTGTCTTCAATATTATTGATGAGTTTTATTCCTATTATTTTTATATTTGTATAAACATTTTTATTTTATTTTAAAATGCTACTTTCTACTTTGCCACTTTTGGCTACTCGCTTTTTTTAGGCGGGCGGAAGTTTCAGAAACGATTTGTAGTCTTCGATCTATCTGATAACATTTCTATATCGTATATTTCTACCAGTTACAAATGGGATCCGATATCTTGGGAATGTACTGCATTCTATAGAAATGCTTGATTCGAAACGTCGACGAGTCTAATAAATCGTATAAATACTGCATGCCCTAATTATTTTTCACCCTCATAATTTTAATAATCGATGATAGAGGGTGTTTCACAGTTAAGAGTTCTAACTGAAAATATGAATTACCGATCTCAAAACAAGAAAAAAAGTTTCACTTTTGTTGCTTAGGTATCGTGTTATGGAGATATCCACGTTGTTATAAATTTATTTGGTTATAAAAAATAAATTAATACTTGTTCCAGCTACTTGAAATATGAAATGTAACCATCAACATTTGTATTCAACATTGTTCAATCTGGTAATATGGTGCATTAAGACAACTTCGGCATTTCAATTTTTTAATCGGATTTTCTTACACACCAGCAGTGGCCGAATGGATATGTAATATTGTTTCCCGAATTTCAATTACTTCGTGAAAAATTAACGGGAGGAAGGGAGAATATAAGACCGAGCTTACATAGACTTTTTGTTAAATATCAACGAAATGAAAAATTCCAATACTATTAGAACACTATATTCATCATTAGTATAAATGCAAGCTATAATCAATTCATGAATTGAAGTTCTCCGCTAAACCATCAAATAACTGATACATATTGTTGAGGCTTGTCAGTGTTAATTCCAAATAGTATTAACCCGACAGTTAGAGACACCGGGCCAGATCAGTGGGTGAGCACTGACTTCCAGAGCTCAAAGTCGTAGGTTCGAATCGGGCTGATGACCAGTTATTTTTCATCAGACCTTGTGGTCGGAAGACGACCTTTCCGGGCACACTAAGGCTCTATAAAGTGGGTACTCTCAATTAAATAATTAATTAAGGATAAAAACCTGGCGGTTGAACGTGATATCGGCCCAATCACCACCCCCCCCCCCCGTCACAGCCGTTGGCTTTGTAACATTACTTTTTCGCATTGTACTGAACACAAGACCTTTCAGGTTGTTAGTGGTACCATATATACAGAGTAGTTAGGGGTATCTAAGTTCTTAATAGCCAAACTGTAGGTGGTAATTTTAGAAAAAAAATTCCTACAAAAATGACTATTTTACGGAAGGGTCAACTCCGAACTGAAAAGGAGTTAAGACCGATTTTGTGTTTGTCTTAAGGTGGTCACATTTTCTATTGAATAAGAGGGAATTAATTTGAAAATGTTAAAGATAAATAAATTCTAAGTACACCATCGTAAAGTATTCTCTTTTATCATTAACCTTACTAAATTTAACCACTGTTAAAAAAAAAAATGTGTCTAATTTACGATGGCGTACTTAGAATTAAATTACCTTTTACATTTTTAGATTAATTCCTTATAATTCAATAAAACCGAAACTACCTTAAGAAAAACACCAAATTGGTCTTAACTCCTTTTTCTTGAAGAATCGACCCATACGTAAAATATACTTGTTTTGGGAAAGGAACTGAGATACCTTCATAGGATTTTGTTTTCTTGCTTTGAGATCCATATTTTCAGTTAGAACACATTGCCTGAAACGTATATTCATCTCTAAATCAAGTTTGATTATCATTTATTTCGCATTATTCTCAAACACAATTAAGTAGCATTACCTACATACCTGTTAATTATCGGTATCAGTTTCCTCCATGCCTTAGCCTTGGGCTGGAGAACTAGCAGTGGCTCGTTTTGATACTTTGGAAACGAGATCATTTGCGCCGAAGGTCGTAAGCGAGGGGAATTGCATTACTTTGGATGGGAGAGTTAGTGCTGGCGTAGTTAGCGGCCTAAGTTGATGGCAAGTTGACTGGCTGGTAAACACGTCCCTCCAAACTGGCTTAGCTATCGTCTACTCATTCGATTATTATCTAGGCACATATCTCCTTGTTACAACTTCAACACTTTAGTCAGTAATATTAAACCAATATTTGCCTAGCCCTCTCACAAACTATGCAAAGTATCCGTGAATGAGGTATCACAGCAAGGTAGATAATATATCTACCTAGTTCATTTTAGTAGGTTTGCAACTTCAAATAAAAATATTAGAAGTATTCGTCCAACCAATCTTAAGTATTGTAAAAATGTTAAATGTTTTAAAACCGAGACATTTATTTAAGATAATTGTGTTCAATATAGCAGTTAGGACACTCGATTTTAACAACGCCTAGGGTCTGTTGAAACTACTGTTAATTTTGTTAATATACGAGGATTGTTATATGTCCTTATATAACGATAAGTTAATATGTCTTTTCTTTACTAATTTAGTTTAAAGTAGGATGGAGTGTAAGAAAATATGCGAAAGTAATCCGGAAATTCTTGCTATATTTCAGTTGCGAAACTACTTACGTAACGGCTGCTGTCTCGAAACTTAAAAATTCAGAACTTACAAAACTGTTTCTTTCCTACGATTCTTTATGGATGCGAAACTTGGTCGCTTACATTAGGAATAATCAATCTCTTAAAGATTTTTGATAGTAAAGTATTGCGCAGAATATTTAGACCGAAGAAGGATGAGTCAACCGCATAATTTAGGTGGTTAATAAAATTTAGATGATTAGGCGAATAAAATGAGCATGTGAAATCGCTGGGCTTAGTAGTGAAATAATTTCTAATAAGTTAATATGCGTTTTACCGATTGGCAAGCGTCCTGGTTGGATCTGCCGTGGTTGGGTTGAGACAGCGTCCGCTGAATGGAAGAATGTAGACATCGGATTGGTGGTGTTGGCATCGAACCTTCCTCTAAGCCTTTTTTATCATTATTACTATTATTAAGTGATGTATATATTTTTTGAACTCTGGTTCAATTTTATTCTAAGGGGACTTCAGTCCCAGAATAAAATTAGTTTTCATTTCATGTAATGAAACCCAAGTTATCGCAAGTGTAGGTTTTTAACTTACTAAGTTTAACAGGATAGCACGATGTGTCGATTACCCAAGACTTATACTAAATGTTTAGCACCATAAAACATTAACCGTTTTTCTCAAGTTACGAGAATACTCCTATTATCTTAATATTGCTTGTTTTACCTTCTTTTTTTGTTTAATTTTAAATATTTATTTGAAAATATCGACGAACTGTTCATAATCAACAGATGGCTTGTAAAAATCATGAATAATGAAACTGACATGTTAGCATAGAAAACGATAGCACCCAGCAGTACATCGAGACGAGAGGGTTGGGATGATTTTGAAGTTTATTATGGAAGGATAGGTAGCTGGATTGGGCCAGATCTGAAACATAAGGAACATTAAGATCTTTATGGATAATTTTATTAGTGACAAAGTAAGGAGCATTGAGGATTTTACGAAGGATTTTGGATTGTAAGGATTGGATGCGAGAGGAATTCGATGGTTTAGTGGAGCCCTATAGCTCAACTCCGTAAGTCCAAATAGGTCTTATTATAGTCAAGTATATGAGTCTTTTGTAATTAATGGGAAGTTTAGAGCGTTTGTCTAGTAAGTGCTGAAGTAATCTGAAACGTCGAGCGGTTTCTTGTCGTTTCAGTCTAGTATGAGGATTCCAAGTTAGTCGCTTGTCCAGGTGGAGTCCTAGGTATCGGATTTGCTCAACAGGGATAAGTGGAGAATTGTTAAAGGAAACTGCAGGACAGGCAGTCGTTGGTTTATGACGAGTGTCTAACTTAGTTTTTATTTATCAATAATCTTTCAAATTTCAAGTATATAAATATAGAATGACTTATTATCAGTACCTGTATGTTTTCATGTGTTATTTTTTTTAATTATATAATATTTTGATTGTTGTTGGCTTCCTGCATGCACCTCACTATCGCCCTTAATAAATTTACTCTAAACAAAGACGACATTACTTGATTTAAAACATTTGTTAATTCGAAAATTCCATGTTTCAGATCTGATGGTGACAAGACTCGACCGGTTGGAATGGATGATGGAGCAGGGTTTACACACTTGTGGTTAGTGCTGCTGCTGCTGGCCCCCGCCCGCTGCATCTGCCCGTCCAAGTGCACATGCAGGGACGATGCTCTGGCAGCCTCCTGCGTCGGCGCTGGTCTCGCGGTCGTCCCCATCCAGCTCAACCCTGACCTGGAGGTCATAGAGCTCCAGGAGAACAGGATAGCCAATGTCGACTACACCCTCACCTTCTATACGAGTTTGCGCAAGTTGGACGTCTCCAACAACAAGATTAACTCACTCAAAGCACACAACTTCGAGAATCAAGGCAAGTTGCTTTCGCTCAACGCTAGCTACAATAACATCACCACACTCAGCAAAGATGCATTCAAAGGGCTCAAGTTACTAAGGAACCTAGACTTGAGTCATAACAATATTATGAATGTCGAGCCTGGATCGTTCCATGACACGGCCAATCTGCAAACCATCAACCTCTCCTACAATAGGATCACTTCCTTTTTGGATCCTACAGTGTTCAAGCCCATCAGCTCATTAAGGGTGTTGAACTTACACAATAATGAGATACTAGACATACCCAGTGTTCTTATCAAAAACTTGCCTTCCCCTTGTGTTCTTGAAACGCTAACCTTAAGCAATAATCTCATCGAGATTATTGAAGAAAAGTCGTTCCTTGCACCTTGCAGCCACAGTATTAAGACATTGACACTTGGGTCCAATGTCATCAAAGATATTGAGAAAGCAGCTTTCAACGCTCTCTACAATCTCGAGTACGTCGACCTTTCATTCAACAATCTAACATACATACCGACAATGCAGTTATCGAAATTAAGTAAGCTGAGGGAGTTGGATCTCAGTGGAAACAGGTTCACAGAAGTAAGACCTGTCGCTTTCCAAAGCCTCTTCCAGCTTAGGATTCTGAAATTGAACCGACTATGGCACTTGAATAAAATAGACAGCCGGGCCTTCGTGGACAATATACGATTGGAGAGCCTTCACGTGGAAGAGAACGAACTGCTGACCAGGATACCGCCGAGGATATTCCATGGCAACCCGCAGCTGATGCACGTCTCTCTGAGAGGCAACTCTTTGACAACTGCGGATGTATCTCATTTCCCGCTGGACCGATTGCGATCTCTGGATCTATCTGGGAATCCACTTCATTGCAACTGTTCGCTTCACTGGTTGTGGACTCTGGTGCAGATGGAGATAAAGTTGGTAGAGCCGACGTCTGCGCCGTCTAATGACACTTCAGAAACCTCAGATGTACAGCTGAGGGTAGTATCGCGTAATCTCAAGTGCGAGTCACCAGAGAGTCTTCGCGGACAACTTATGTCAGAGATCCCCGAATCGACAGTGAGCTGCGAGACGACTTGGATGACAGTTGCTATCATCACAGCGCTCGTGCTTGCCCTTTCAGGGGGGACTTGCGTGTTCCTGCTGCTGTTCGGGACCGACCGGCGACTGTGCGGGTGCCGGAGGTCCGGGAAGCAGGAGAACGACCCGGTGGCGGGGGACACGAGGAGGCTGGCCCCTGGGCTCCACGGCCCCAGCGGGCCCATCTTGATGCTGATGCCGGACAAGCACTATCGGGACGCCATCATGAGCGGCTACATGAAGGCCTCGGAGGACACCAAGGTGGTGGAGCCGTGGATGGACCAGCCGGCCAGCGAGTTCGACTCCAACCAGGCCAAGAAGCCGCACATCGTGTACGTGTAAGTGTGCCAACCCCAGGACCTGAGTGCAGGTGCAGCCTTCCGTCCTGTACCACTCACCTCGATGTCTTCACGTTCTCAAGTAGCTTTGGGATGACACCTCGGTAAACATTCTTTACTGAAATATGAAAAAAAAAATCTCAAAGCAGCATATTTCCTAGGCTGTCACTATTCTGCATATATCTTTTTTGTATACATAGGATTATAATCCTACTTTTTGTAAACGTGTGTAATAGTCAGCTAAAAATATTTTACTAATGATTTAATGATTTAAGAATTATTGATTTCTATTTGTACTATACACCAAAATGAGTAGTATTACATTTGATAAATATGTCTACTTCACAAATTTTTACCAATATATCTGTTATCCGTTTTTATATGTAAAAAAAAAAGGGCCTGTTTACACCCTATTGTGATAAAAGTAATGTATAAATTTTCGAATTCTTCACACATCCATTTTTATTAAAGTTTATTTATATTTGTTTTTCAATGTCTTATTACTCCTCACAGTCTAACTGACCAATATTAGTGACATATTATGCGTCTCTTATTATTTAAAAAATAACTTGCATATTGGTATATGCTTCTTTGTATAAACTTCGTATGAAAGACTGAGAAGAAAAAGAACTCGACAAAACGATGGATTATAATACATTATTGTTATTTATGTCATTTTTCATTGTTAAAAAAATTGTTATATATATTTTTAATTATATGGCGTACTTGTTAACTACTTCAAACAGCATTGCATAGGCAGAAAGTTGTTAAAAGTGATCAAGGATATAATGTAAGGAATGTTATATGAGGTACATATATATGTAGTCATGTGATTGTGTGTCATTATTACATGCATTTTATTTTTAATTGTAACGCGTAATGTAAACAATAACGCTTAACTGCAATTATATATTTTTAATATAACTGTCATTTATGTAAAAAGTTTGTAAAAAAAAATTCTTATTAAATCATAAACATTGGCCTTTTACCACTCCAAGTATGTTTTTTTGATTTTTATAGTATTTATATTTTAATACATTGAATAATAATGTAATGGAATAGAACGTAAAAAGTGGCATAAAATTAAAATATATACATAAAGATGATTTAAAAAAAAAAAGACTCCAAAAAATTGGCTATTGTCTTAATTAGGCTAAGGTAAATTATGCAATACAATGATTATACATTTTTATAAGTATAAATTTTAATCTATTTTAAATTATATATTCTAAAATTGTAAATATTGTGAATAGTGTGATATATTTTATGCTAATTACTATTAATCGAATAATATATGTCACCTACCCTTTACTTACTTCCAGACATGTATTAATTCCCGAAAATTTCAATTTAAAATAAATTTTAGATTATGAAAGTTTGAAGTTCTTCTATACCCTTCACAATTCCTACACAAAAAAATTATATATATATATATATATATATATATATATATATAATATATATATATATATATATATATATATATATATATATATATATATATATATATATATATATATATATATAAAGTAGTGATCGTACACTTTCTTTAAACAGTAGGCAATGCATTTCACTAATAATAGTACTGTATTAATAATCAATAAAATATTTACAAAAAGTAACAGTACCTATAAAATTTTAAAAATATTCTAATGGAAGAGGATAAACATAAATTGTCAGCTTATCATAAAGGCTACTGAGAAAGCTTAAAACACATCTTAGCATAAAGACTACTGTTACTTAATGTTTAATTTAATTATTAAAAAAAAAGATGTTTCGGAGAGTAGTGCTAATCAGATGGAAATAAAAACATGTAAATAAACTGATAAATACATAAATAACAGTATAGTTGTAGCTTCCATCATAGCTTCGTAATATGAAGTTTTATACTTGTGCACTTAGTAATATCAGTTACATTTAGATTCAAAATACAACATACACTATTGTTATAAAAAATATGATTCAAATATGATCATTTTTACTCAAGTTAGTAGGTAATATCATATTTTTTAAACATTTTTGTTTATAATTACTATTAGTTACCTATAAACTCTTAGTTATCTCTACAAGTACCTTTACCCTGGCTCGATTCGATTGCCATGGTTTGTTAAGGAAGGAAGTCTTCCAGCGCACAGTAGGCTCTCTGTTCTGTCACAGTGAGCTGTAACAAAAGACAAAATATCGATAGTGAATTTTTTTTATAGAAAATTAAACGTGTATTTGTAAAAAATTAGAAACAGAACAATTACTCGAAATAAATATAAACAATTTAAGTAAAATTAAATACAAACATCGAATATTGAGAGCCACTTTTAATGATAAAGGGTACTGGTTCGATTGTCAGACTGAACAGTAAATGCATTTTACACCTTCCACTTAAGGATTTCTCGCCAAACATATGGATTTAGTACATAAAAATGGACCTTCTTTAAATAATTAATGATAATAATAATAATGCTTTATTTATTCTTGGAAGAGTCCCTTTAGAATAATACAGAGAGACAAAAATGTGGGCTAAGGAGCCACAGAGATACATAAACAAGTTTGATTAAATAGTAAAAAAAAATAGTAATAATAAGAGAAATTATAAGTTTATTTCTAATTTAAATCAGTTAATAATAAAAAATAAAAAATTGAAGAAAAAAATGGATGAAGTAAATATAATGAAGAACGAATTAATAATTTATATACATATTTACAGTAGTATGGATGAAGAATGATTAAACAGTTGGGATTTAAAGGTAGGACGGTTTTGGATTGACGGATGTGGGGAGGGATGAAGTTCCATAGGGATGAGGATCGGATAATAAAATATTTATCGAAAGCAGCTGTTTAGAATATATATATATATATATATATATATATATATATATATATATATATATATATGCGCACTATTAAGGCTATAAGTTTTTCAAAGTCTTTGAAATAATACTGTAATTGAAACAAAATGGCTATAATGGAGCCATCCATAGCTGCTGCTGCCACCACATTATCCCCGAATATTACCGGAACGGTTTTCCCCCACCCCTAGCTCCCTCATCCAATATATGGACCTCCGCTAATTAAGAAACCATCTGCAATATTTAATCAACCGGTGTATTCCAGTCTTAATTTCCTTAGGAATTAAAGGATAAGACGCTAAGCTGCAGGTGGTGCGCGTGAATATTTCCTTCTGCTGAGGCAAAAGAGCCTTAAACATTACTTAGTATTTAATACTTTTACATGTTCTGAGGACTTTCTTACTTTCAAATTATTTCTTTTATGTTCACGACTTTGTTATTTTTAACTTTGAAATGTATTAATTTTCAAATATTATGGTGACATTTAAAAATAATATGTTATAGTAATATAACTTTTATTATTCATTTCATATTTTTAGAAAACAAAGTTAAATAATAGAAAAGCAAATAAATAGAATGATAAAAAAAAAAAGAGTAGATAAAATTTTAGCCTAACTTTGAGGTAAATTCATTAACTGTAACTTTTTTTTAATTTACATTAGATGCTTATAATTTTTGAAAAAAAGAAAACTAAATATCATGAATATTTTTTTTAATCTTTGTTCCTACTGAAAATTTGTGATCTAACATGAGATTGATCGTTAAGTACTACGGCTTGATTACTTCACAATAAATATAGATAACGTCTGCAGTTGTTTTACAAGAAAGTGCACTAAATTAATAAAACGAAATTTCTAATATTAAATTCATAAGATTATGCAAACTATAAATAAATTAGGATAGAAGTAGGAGAGAACAAGATCGATGTTGTTAAAAAAATTGTATTAAATAAATTAATAAATTAAATAAACCGAGTGATGAGCATTTACTGAATGCTCATTCAGTAAGATGGTGTCAGCCAAAGGGAAGTCCTGTTCTATGAGAAATATAATGAGCTGAAGAACACGATCACTATTCCAATTTTTTAATGTTTTTTTTTTAAATAGAAAAATACATGAGTATGGTGCAGGTCCACGGTACAGATCCAATGTTATCAAATTATAAACATCTGCCTAAATTTTCGTGAATGGCTTCATCTTCTCATAAGTTACAAATTATATTTAATTTAATGAGATAGTAAAAATGCAGATATACTCATTTGCTTTCCAATTGAATCGTAAGATAGTTTGATTACAAAAAAAAAATAACCGATATCCTACAAAAATATTGGGCCGTTTCATGTATTATATTAGATCGCAGGTTCGAATACTGCTGATGACTAGTAATTTTACATCAGCCGTAGATCGATCTTGGGATCAGGAGACCCTCAGTCTCTATAATGTGGGTACTCATACTTAATTGAGAGGAAAAACGATTGATCGTGATATCGGCCCAATCAACTCTCTGCACAAATGTTGTCCTTTTGACTGTACATCCTCACATAGTACTAAGCCCAAGACCCTTCATGGATTGTAGGTTTTTTATTTTGACATATTGTGGGTGAGGGTCACGCCAAACGTCCTAATATTTTATGTAGACTACGTTTTCCTCGATTTTGTGATTATCTTATGATTAAACTGGAAAGTAAATAAGTGTTCATGAGTTTTTATTAGTACTTGATTTATTAGAAAAAGTTTGCCGTTCTCTAAGTTGAAAATCCCTTATTTTCGGTAATTTTCGTAAATAAAAATTTCTAGGTTATGATGAGATGAATCTATTCACGAAGTTTCAGGTAAATGTTAATAATTCGATAAAAAGAGGTTAGTACAAGAGGACTACAAATTACGATTCTGATGAAGAGAACAAATGCTAGAAAGTAAGCTATTTCTGGAAAAACGAAAGCTTTTGGTAGCTTCAATTTGACTTATTGACCTTTGTGGCTCTACAAAAACATCAAATTCTTCTCGTATCCAATCCTTACAATTCAAAATCTCCCGTAAAATCCTAAATGCTCTTTATTATGTAAAAAATAAAATTATCCATAAAAACCTCAACATTCCTCTTGTGGAAGACTTGGTCCGAACTAGATATAGCTCCTTTCGTTCCAAACTCTTTGGTCATCCCAATCCTCTAGTTTGTAACCTTTCATCCAACACAATTCCTGACAACCCATCGAGGCATGGAAAGAAGATGGCCAAGGGACCTCCTAAATTAATTTATCTTTGAAGTATTACCAATGGGCAGCTTCTCACAAGTACCTTCATATAATATATTCCTATAGCCAATTTACTGGTTGAATATACACTGACAGGCAAAAAATTCCACCCACTTATGACCCATTAAGGAACCACGTTGGAAAGGTTGGCTCTGGGAAAAATTACAGACTGCGTATCTTTTGTTTCTTCTTCTCCACACCCCTGATCGAAAAGCGAATCTTGACTCATCTGTAAAAAGTACAGCACTCCATTCGTCAATAATGCAATGGCTGTGTTCTCGAGGAAAAGCCAGCTGTGTTACTCTATGAGTTCTAGTAACTCTGGTCCTCTTACTGGACGAAAAGCCATTAATCCATACTCATTTAATCTTCTCTAAGCGGTATGTTCAGAATTTTGGAGACCTCGAACTTCTTCGAGCTGATGAATCGCTTGAACAATGGTAAGGTGCGGGTTTCGTAAATTAAAATTTCGTTAAGTCAAAAACCGGTCATTCCGTGGTTCTGTTACTTTAGGCCGTCCAGAACCGGGCCTTCTATTGTAAGAACCAGTTTCCCGAAAACGCCTGACGGCGTCTCGTAAAGTTTCATATGCAACCCCGATGGCATTAGCTGCATATCTAATGGAACGTCCATTATCAATAAGTGCCACACCACGCGCAACATCCTCAGCACTAAGAGGAATTTTTAAACTTAATATTGAAAAAATTAAAAGCCGGAGACTAAGAAATGTGCTGAAAGAAACGGCACTGAACTAATGATACTGAATAAACATTTTGATTCCATATAATGTAAACATTGGAATCTAGAATCATTTCATTGAATTAAGGATTAAGGGTTATTGTCCTCTATATTAACATTCCTAATTGAAAACAAACAAAAAGATTACCTATTTATTCATTAAAAACAATAGACCAATCCAAAGCAGAAATATTTTTAGATGAAAACATGAAAAAATCAAGTGGGTCGAATTTTTTGCCTGATAGTGTATGTTTACATTAGTAAATGCCAATAAAAAAAAATTGGCTGAAATGTTGAATGAAAAAGATAACTAATGCACAATATCAGTCATCACGTGATAGCCTCTATCTGTTGAGGCAGCTAGCTGAAGATTGAGT